GGTGCCCAGAGCTGTGGTTGGGCACAGGGGTCACCCCACGGGGTGCCCAGAGCAGTTGGTTGGGCACGGGGGTCTCCCCACAGGCTGCACTGGGGTGCCCGGAGCAGCGGTTGGGCACGGAGGTGTCCTTGAGGGGCTGCCAGGGCAGTTGGTTAGGCACGGGGGTCTCCCTGTGACATGCACGGGGATGCCCAGAACAGCTGCCAGGCCCGTTATGGGGGTGTGGGGTGTTGGGGTGACGTGCTGCCGGGCGCTGGGGCTGAGCAGCGCGGTTTCCCCGTGCACACCCGGCCCTGCACGTGCAGCCAGCTCGTGCGTCGCTGGCCGTCGGGCCGCCTGCCCGGGGCCGGCACAGGCCGTTGCGTGGCAGAGGATGATGTGGCCGGTGAGGAACGGAATTCAAGCATGTGTTTAGCTACCGTGATCCTTGTGTTTAAGCAAAGGCATTTCTGGGAGTAGTGGCTGGGCTGAGCTCCCCGCGGCAGTGTTTACTCGCGGCAGATGCTGTTCAGAGCCGGTGTCTATGGCAGGCGGCTGCGGCTCCCAGTGCGTGCAGGAGCCAGGCCCAGTGATGCTGGGGCTCCCTGGGTCTGGCAGAGCAGCATGTCCCACCTTCCCAGGGCCACCTCAGCACCATCAGGCCCCTCAGGATGCTCGTGGGGTGCAAGCTGCTCTGAGAGCCATGGGGGGGGGGCGCGTGCCATGTGGCTGGGGTGTCCAATGTCCATGACCATCACCTGAGCAGCCCATGGGGAGCGAAGATGGGACATTGGGGTGCCCCAAAGGCAGTGGTGGGGCTCAGGTGGTCTGAGCAAGGGCCCTGTGCTGGAGGTGCCACCATCTCTCTGGGCTGCAACATCTGCCCAGTGGCCCTGACATCTGCTGCTGTCTGGGCAGGGTAGGATGATGCTTGTGGTGCTCGTGGGTGCTCGGTGCTCTCCATCACCCCTCTGGCAATCCCGGCAGAGCCCACTGGCAGCGTGGCCATGCCGGAGCCCTGCTCTCCTCCCCGCTGTGTGTGTCTCCTTTTGTGGCCAGTTTTTAATTGCCAGCGCGCTCAGTCCCCTCCCCTCTCCCTCGTTAGTGGAGGAGTTTTCCTTGTGCTTCCTGGCCATTAACGAAGCTCTCCCGTGTCTCACTGCCCACAGACAGGCTGTAAACCCTGCATGGTGGCTGTGGGGCCAAGACTACCCCGGTTTGGGCATCCAGCGGAGTGTTGGGGTGCCCATTCTGCTTTGGGAACTGTTAAGCTTCAGGCCATGGCAGGGCTGTACTGAGGGCCTGATCCAGGCGTTGTGCCCTCAGCACAGCTCCATCGTGCCCCACGCCACGCTGGTGGCACCCAGGGGTGCTGTGCTCCAGGAGGACGAGCTGGCTGCTCTCCAGGGGACCCCATCACCCCAAAAGACCTTTTCCCAGCAGCGCTTAAAGCCAGGCCAGGGCTTGAGCTCTCTACAGCCCGGCAAAAGTACCGGCAGGCTGGTGGCCACTGCCAGAGCTTTAACGAAAGTCAAACTGCTGCGTGGCTGGAAGTCACTGACTAAGCACTTGGCACGGGCAGTGATGGAAGTGCTAAACAGATTTTGGCAGCCGCAGCCTCTCCTGCAGGTGCAGGGAGGAGAGATTTGTCGTTACGGTGTGTCCGGCTGATGCCGATTCGGACCGCGCGGTGACGCCATCGGCGTTACCGCTGCACCCCGCGACGCCGATCCCCAGGCATTGCCCTATCCCCTCGCTGGGAGCAACCCGTGGGAAAGGCCAAGCACCACAGACCTGCTGACATCCGTCCGTCTGTCAGCGAGGGCCGGTTAGCCGGAGCGGGGCCCATCTCGGGGCTGGAGATTGGAGCCAGCGCCGGGCACGGTGCCGCTCTTGCGCCCACTGGTTCCTTTTGTCCGACGGCTGTTTGCATCCCTGGAGGGGGAGGGCAGCTCGTCCCCCTTCTCCTGGGAGCTGCTTTTTGGCGCTGGGTGACAGCGGAAGCGGCGCTGGGCTCCTCTCCACCGGCGCTGAATGGCACCTTTGTTGGGGAGCCAGGCGGTAGCTCAGTGCTGGCGGGGACCCGCTCAGTCCTGGTTTTCGGGGGGCTCTGTTCACCAAGCAACATCCAGAGTCCTTCCCGGGGTGGGGAGCACTGCGGGGGGGGGCTGTTCCCCAGGTGTTTGTTGCTGGGGTGGTTCATTAATGTGTTAAACGAACAGCGTGGGCTGCCAGGGCATGGGAGGCTGCGCTGACACGTGGGGCTCGGGATGGAAGGAGGGCGAGTGAGGCTAGTTTCAGGGACGCCGTGGTGGCTCTGTCCCCTCCCTGTGCCCTGGGGACCCTGCAGTGCCCCTTCTCATCCCACAGCTGCCCCGTGTGCCAGGAGGGGAGGTTGGGGATATGGTGAAGAGGAGCTGAAGGTTGGGACTGTTCAAAAGTCGTTCTCCGTCACTCTTGCCCGTTGGCACCGGGCTGTGTCATCATTAGCAAATGTCCTGCGGCTCGGACTGTCGGGTGGCCGATGGAGCGCAGGACAGAGCTAAGGCTGGGTGCCAGAGCCTGGGAACTTCTGCATGGGCAAGGAGAAACTTCTGCCACCGTCCTGGGCTGCTCCGGGGACCAGTGTGGCCCAGGCAGGGGTGGCTCAGCCTGGCACTGCTCCCCAGGCTCGTGGGTCACGGCCTCCCCGTGTCCCCTGCGCCCTGTTTGCTGACACAGCCCTTTGTGCCAAATAATTGAATATCGCTCTGGGATGCTGGCAAGGAGACACAAGACCCACTGCAGCAGGCGTGGGGGCTGCTGCGTGGGTCCCCAGCTCGGGGCTCTGCTGCGCCGCAGCCACCCTCCTCTTCCTCCCACTCTGGTTTCCCGCTGGGGGTTTCAAGGAAGAGCAGGCTCACTGGAAAGCCTGAATGGCATTTTTCGGTTAAATCTTATGTAAATCTGGCTCCATCCTTCCTCGTGGTGCTAATTGGATTGCCCGAGGCGGTTTATTTTCCCACGAAGGCAGGGGTGGGAGTGGGGCAGTGCCAGGCAGTGGCACAGGGGACATGCTGGGTCACAGGGGAGTGTGTTGGGCTCCTCGCTCTGCTGAAACAGGCTGGGGCTGCAGAGCTGCAGGGAGCCAAAACCTCGGTGGGGAGGGAAAACTGGAGCTGTGGCCGTGTCACCTGCTTGGTGGTCCCTGCCCTGGCCACTTCTAATGTGCTGTCCTCTTCCCTCCCAGAGCTCCTTGGATCAGCAAAGAAAGTCAACGTCAACTTCCAAGACACCGACGGGTGAGTGGGGGCCCCGCGCCCGGGCGGCCGTGCCGTGGGGACCGTGCCCCTTCACATCTGACAGCAGGGAGGAGCGGGGCCGGGGCCGTGGGCTCACCCCCTGCTCATCACGCTAGTGAGGCTGCAGGTGCAGGAAGGGAGCTGGAGCCCCACGGAGGAGGACGGCTGCAGTGGGAGCGGGGAGTGGTGCGTGTGGGGCTGGGCAGCAGCCACCCCTCGTGCTCCCCGCGGCTCCCCCCTGCCCTGTGTCCCCCCGCTGAGGGGCAGCAGGACGTGCTGTGCGCTCCCCAGGGACGGCTCTGCTGTGGCCATGGAAATGGCGGTGAGCGGAAAGACCAAGATGGGGTCAGGAATGGGAGGGCATGCCCTGGGGAGATGCGGCCACAGCAGCCCGAGTCCTCCTCATCCTCACCCCCCAGCAGGGCGGTGGCAAGTGGGCATCCCCTGGTACCTGCCAGCATCTCCCGGTACCCACCAGCACGTCGGCTCTATCAGCCCGTGCGGGCGCGTGGGGAGCAAGGGGAGCACACGGGCAGAGCTGGAGGGCACGATGTGAGCAAAGTGGGGGGATGCATCACCCCACAGACCACCTCGTGCTGCCAGAGCTGGCAGGTCACCGCAGGGAGGGCTGCGCATCGCGGCAGGGCCGGAGCAGCAGGCAAGGGCCCCGCTTGTGTCCTGCCTGCAGCTCCCGGGTGGCTTGGGGGGTGCTGGAACAGCCCTGAAACAGGGGAGCAAACCAGCTTCCAGCGCTGCTCCTGGCTCCACCCTGGGAATGTGCAGGGCAGCCCCAGGCCGCAGCCCCTGTGTGCTGTGCTCTGCTGCCAGGGCTGTGCCTCAGTTTTCCCGTCTCTGCTGCGTTTGCTGGTTCCCCGGGCCGGTGGCTGAGCACTGTGCTGGCATCCCCACGCTTGCCCGGGGGCCAGTGCCCTGGGCCGTGATGGGGGAAGCCCCCGAGGCAGCCTGGGGGGGAAGGCCGCAATTTGCACCATCTTGAGCGGATTTGAGCAAGGGCGCTGGAGTGGAAAATGTTGACATTTCCCAGGCAGACGTTGGGGATCGGCCTCCCGCGCCAGCTGTCTGCTCACATCGCCGCTCCCTGCCGGGGGATCGTGAGCGGCAGCTCCCTGGGTATCATGGTGGCCAGGTGCTCCCCGGTGGGGACATGTCCCCCCCCTCAACTGGGGGTCCTGGTAATGGGGGAGCAGAGGGGATCTCTGCCCCACTGCCCACCTCTTGGGGACTGGCATGTGCTGGGGTCTGCAGCCCATTCCCATGCTCCGGTGACACCAGGGTGGCCGTGGGGATGGGACGGGGATGCTGTGGTGACCGGGGCTCGGCACAGTGGGGTGGCGGGTGCCAGCGCAGCCATGCAGAGGATGCTGCCGCCGGGAGCAGCAAGTAGGTCAGCTCCCGGCCTGCTTCCCAGCAACGAGCCTCTGGGTTTGGCCAGTCCCAGGTGCTGCAAAAGCAAAGTGGGGTGTGGTGCCGGGGGCTTTTGCCGCCCCACAGCAAGGCCCAGCACCAGGCAGGGGCACGGTGGCCATCTGGCACCCTGGGCCTCCCCCTGCAACCGTCGCCTGCGGTCGTGCTGCTGGAGCCAGGCTGGGGGGAAGTGGGTCAGCAGGGAGGATGACTCCCTGGCACCCCCCTAGCCTTGGAGGGACCCCACCCTGTGCCTGCCCTGCTCATCCCCAGGGGGTCTCAACATCCCCGGGGAGAGTTTGATCCGCAGCCATCTCACTCCAGCGTCCCCAGATCAGCCCCAGCAGCATCCCCAACCTGGGGAGGTCTGTCCTGTGGCTGCAGCACCCCGGGGGAGCTAAATAAAGTGATGGGCTGGAGAGAAAACCACGGCCACCCCGGCACATCCCACCCCTCTGGCCCTTGTTGCATGCCAGGACGTGGCTGGCTCATGGCTCGGCCACAACTGGTCTTTCTCCAGGTGCCCACAGCGGGATGTGGAGGTGGGGTTGCTTGGGGACATGTGGGGTGCTGTGGGAGGCAAACCCTTGGGGTGCCGTGGTGGTGCTGCAGGGGGGGACAGGGATGTGGGAGCCCTGACACCGCGGCTGGTCACCAGGTTCTCGGCTCTGCACCATGCGGCCCTCAACGGCAACACGGAGCTCATCTCACTGCTGCTGGAGGCACAGGCTGCGGTGGACATCAAGGACAACAAAGGTGAGTCCCTGGGTCCTGGCTGTGACACTCTCCCACCCGCCCTGCGCCCTGTGACCCCTCTGGCCTGCGGGGCTCACAATGTGCCTGTCCCACTGGCCTGCAGGCATGCGGCCACTGCACTATGCGGCCTGGCAAGGCAAGAAGGAGCCCATGAAGATGGTGCTGAAAGCGGGTTCCTCCGTGAACATCCCATCTGACGAGGGCCAGATCCCCCTGCACCTGGCAGCGCAGCACGGCCACTACGACGTGGTACGGTGGGGATGGTGTGGGGGTGAGGTGGGGGGGGGCCTGTGCTGCCCTCCCTTGCCCCTGCCCTCACTGAGCTGGGGGGGGGTCTCACTCCTCCGCAGTCGGAGATGCTCCTGCAGCACCAGTCCAACCCCTGCATCATGGACAACTCGGGGAAGACACCCTTGGACTTGGCGTGCGAGTTTGGCCGGGTCGGGGTAAGTCCTTGCAGCGATGGGGGACCCCCCCCGAGAGGATGGGAGGGGATGGGGCCACGGTGAGGTGCCTGGGGGTGCTGGAGCAGCCCGGGGTGAGGGGGCACAGGGCAGCCCTTGGGATGGTCAGTGGTGGGGTCCTGTGGGGGGATCTCCAGCTACTGGAGAAGGAGGGAGGTGAGGCCGGGGGGGCTGCGGCTGAGCCACCCTTGCAGCCCTGCTCCGTCTGTGTTTGCTGAGCCAGGTGGTCCAACTGCTCCTGAACAGCAACATGTGTGCGGCGCTGCTGGAGCCCAAGCCGGGGGACGCCACCGATCCCAACGGCACCAGCCCCCTGCACCTCGCCGCCAAGAATGGCCACATCGACATCATCCGGTGGGTGCCATGGGCAGGGCGGGCAGTGCTGGTGGCCCCCCCCGCTCCCTGTGACCCCCCACCTCGCTGACCCCACTGTTTGCCCGCAGGCTCCTGCTGCAGGCTGGCATTGACATCAATCGGCAAACCAAGGCGGGCACGGCGCTGCACGAGGCAGCCCTGTGTGGCAAGACCGATGTGGTGCGGCTGCTGCTGGATGTAAGGACCACCCCCCCGGCACCCCCAGACACCCCCACCCCTGCCCTGCCCTGTCCAGGTTGGAGCTGCAGGAAGGGAGCGACCCTGCGGCTGGGGGCTGT